CACGAGATATATATATATATAGCTGCAAATAATTTGATATGCTGGCTCGTTTTCCTTTTATCTCACGATAGTCACACTATTGACCTAAGGTAAGGTATTTTTTATTTCTTTTAAGGGTGGAAAAAACGAGTAAGAGAGCTTTGAACGAGACTCTTTTTAATAGTCAATGAAAACGACTTGGCTTTACAGTTTTTTTAGTGAGGATTGAAATAATTGTCAGTGACTCCGACTTCAGATCTATTCATCGAGAAACTGAGAAATTACACTTTTATGGTGGAAAATTTATTTCCTGGCATCTTTTATAACTTTTTTTTTTCTTTTTTTTTCTTATTTTTTTTGCAAGGGTGTTACAGTAAAAATTGTGAACAGCAATAGTTCCTCCGTTATACTTGTTTTGTAATAACGCTGCCTGCTTGAGTCTTTATATATTACATTGACGAAAAACGCTTCATTGCCTGAGGTCCTGAATAAGGGGTTTATTTCAGTGCTTCGACTGCGAGTAAAATAATGTAATGTTCTTGTTTGGTAAAATTTTGATATCATGGTAAAGATCTTCCATTAATGAAAATTACATAAGCAGGGAACCGGGGGGGGTACTCCGGATTTCAAGTGACAAGGATGATCGAAGGATAAGTTTCGATTTCGGGATTTCTTTTGGACAGGAAAATTTTGGCAAGTATTTTGGGGCAGCTTGATTTATGTAGGCATATTTTGGGGTCTTCAAAACAATCTGAAGATTCGTGATAGTTCCCGTATCCCGGCCGCTTCTGGAAATTTTTATGGCTCGGAAATTCGGCGTGGGATTTTTGGGGGGTTAAATTTTGGTCCAGGGATTTTTTGGGGGGGGGTTATTTTTGCCCCCATTCGATCATCCCTGTCACTTGAAATCAGGAGTACCCCCCTGGGCAGGGAACCAAATAACATGTTATGTTTTATCATTTTTGTGCCAGATGAAAGATATCGATACTTCGCAAGTGCACATGCCCATGTTGTGCAGACAATTTTCCCCATACCACTGATTATTCTTAAAACGGGTCATTTGTTAAAAATAACATAAAGGTGATTTTTAACGTCCAAAGACTTGCTAAAAACATAAGTATATTCGACACATCAAAGGGCTCGGAAAAGGACGGCGTCAAGAAACTCACGAAACATCTGTTGATAACCGATCACCAAAATAATGCGCGAGAGTGTCTAGACATCGGGAATTTTATTTTCGCGGTAACCAAAACAAAATTAAATATACCTTCAGGATGCGATACAAATGCAATCGTCTATTTGAAACAAATAATAGCAGGATTGAGACAAGAATCCGGATGACAACAGGATATTCTTTTGGGGGGGCGGGGTGTGTTTTTTGGGGGGGTGGGATGATAAGTGGTAGACTGGCAAGTGGAGATCAGAAACTTCCACTTGAAGTGGTCCCACTGCCCCCCAGGGGGGAAATCCCTTGTATAAGCCATATTGTTCATATAGGTATATGCCCAACCTCGTCCACACGGCTGGTTTTTGCGTCGTTTTGGTCTGAAAAGGGGTATAGACTTTATCCATGAACGTATTTATCGTTTCAGTTCCAAATGAATAAGAAAGAAAAGGAAATGTTCGAATTCGAGTGGATTTTAAGAAATCTTTTTAGGTGGCGTTCTAATCTAAGTAATGATGACGTAATTTCTTAGGGGCCAGGTCTGAAAACGGGTGAAAAAAATGACACTTTTTCACGGCCTGGAATAGGGTGAGGATTTGGAGAACCGGGCGGCCCACCCCCACCAAGAATTCCCAGGACTACTCCCCGGGCTTTACTGACACTTCACTGATTGATTCCGATAGCTTTAAAATTCCACCCTCTTATTCCATTTCAATTACTTTTTATTTAGTATATATTTTTTGGAGAATCGGTTCGTTTATCTTGGCCTATTGTTTGTTTTGATTTTAAGAAAAAGACCTTAAAACAACAACAAAGCATGAATAAAGCTTTTTGAAGCCATTAAGCATTTTGGGAGATTGCTGGGAAAAATATATCTGTTCCTCACTCCCAGAAAGACTGATGGAAGAGTTCCCAGCCAGCAAGGTGCATCTACACTTTGCAACCTGACTTACTGGGACGTTTCCCAGCAGCAGACGTATGTCCAGACATCACTGGCCAGTTTGGGCATGGTCATAGAAAAAAATTCATACCTTCACTGGCGGGGAGGCGGGCGTTACGTAGAAAAATGGGTGTGACCTAACGGCGACAGTCACCCCTTCAGCCGCGGGCGGGGGGGGGGGGGAGTTCATGACAAATAACCCATAGAAGCTATTCTACACACCAAATCCCCCCAGACACAGTGAATTATCTTTCTTCCCAGCAACACTTCCAGCAAACATTTGCCTGAAGAACAGTGAGATATTTTGAGGAACAGATCCATCGGGTGCCCCTGAGCTATGTCAGTATTCAATCTTTTCAAGACCGGAAAACACCTTTATTCTTTCTTGGTCTTCAGCGCTACCTTATTCAGTTTAAACATAACTGGCTCTCCTATAAATTGAACATATACTGCCACGTTATTTCGTCTACATGCACAGCTCACCTGACCGTCATCGATTCGTTAAGATCAAGAGAGCCTTTATCCTCTCTTGTTAAGATCGATTCGTAAGGTTGGAAGAGGTATCCGCCGATAGGAAGACTTACTTGTATCCTTTTTTCCTAGCCTGCAAGTAAGGTCTCCATTTGGGGTAGTCGCGAGAAGTCACGTGCGAGGGGTACGCGAAAGGAGACGCCGCTCACTCGCGTGTCTCTCGCGGCTCGCAGGCTACTTACCTGTACTGCTTTCGAAAGGGTGTGGGTAGTGGTTAAAAATTTCAAACCTGTGATTATCTACTTCATAAAAATTAAGAATTCGAGGCTAGTGTTAATCAGTCAATATGGGCCCGATGCATAACTACTTCAGTAAATTGATTTCAAAGTTCATAAGTGTTATTTAACGCTTTGCAAATCAAAAAAAATGTCGACCTCTCAAAAGATTCAGTAACTTCTACGTGATCCTGAAAAGAGGTAATCGATTGAAAAAAGAGCTAATTACTAAATAAGATAAGAAAACTTAGAATCGTGTTTTTCCTAGGGGCAAACGTCCGTAAAACCTGGGGGAGGACGCTTGCATAGGTAAGCGGAGACTCTCGCTCAGTCTAGGGGTATAAACAAAGTGTCTTGTGTCATACACATGAGTTTCCTTGTCCTTCTGCAATTTCATTAGCGTTTACAGAGACATGCGCAACCTTTTCCTGTTCGGGAGTCTCTTCGCAGATTTCTTTCCTTTCTCTGCCGGTTTCTAGATCTGGCATAAATAGTCGAGTAAAAGGCAGAGTGCAGGATCCAGCAGCTATGGCAGCTCCGGCTACCATGAAAGCATCCTGATATGATCCAGTTTTCTCAAAAATGTACGCTAGAAGAGAACGAATATGAAACAAATGGAACTGATTTCATCAAAAAACATTTAAAAATGCATTGGAAACAAAGAAACCCCTGATAGAAATAATGGTTCATGTTTATTTTGAATTATTTTTCCACTTTACCACAACTTATAGCGTATGTCTTTGGCTTTTGATGGCCAGGATTGAACTTGAAAAAATTAAGCCAACTTTCTCAAGTTTAACCCTCTTTGATAACCTTTAGATTTATGGGAATGGTTACAATGCAAATAGGCGGTTAAGCTACAAAGTAAAACGTAACTGCTAAAGGAGCTCCACATATTATAGGAAGAGATATAACTCCATACAAGGATCCTAAACCTTGTGGTAGCAAATTAGGTCCGACTATATCACTAGTAGTGATGGCTTGAAGCAAAACGAAACAGCCGTCAAACGTTCCAAAGCTAACAGCATATAATATGAGCCCAGTGTAATCTTGTACCAGCGGACATAGCATGCATGTAACAGCCATCATCACAAAGCAAACCTGAAAGAAAAAAGAAACATCTTTTACTATATGGTTGAACCCGCGGGCGAGCAAGATGAAGCGAATCCTGCATTCTGGTTTGCTAAAGCCCGTTCGGGATTTTCCGCGTTGGTCCCGCAATTAAAAGTTCCCTTTTTGGGCGTTATCCAGCCGAACAAGCTTGGTCATTGCTGTATCTGCACTGATGGTAGATCGGCAGATGTCTTGAGTAGTTCGTTTTAAAAAGAAAAGAAATTGTAATTTGATAAAGACTGGCCACAATTAACAACTACTTAACCAGTCTATGAACTGATCCTGATTTGCAAACACCTTTCTTGGCTCGAAAACGTATCTGTACTTAATTTCAGTCTCATGCGTTCATTACTAAAGTACCAAATTGTCCATTAGAAACTTTAAGCAGCAGCATTTACATGGTTACAAATTAGTAAGTGAAAACATTTCCTTACATACCTGTAACACGTAGAAACGATTAACTCTTGGGTGATTGAGCACAAGGCCAAAGAGAACACGTGACAGTGTAGAAGCAATGGAAAGGTAGCCTATTAGCAAAGAGGCCTTAGACTCGGGTACTCCAAGAATCTCAGCGAAATTGGGCTGAAGAAAAAAAAAAATGATCAGAGGACCATTTCGAGGCCACCTTGAAATCAGCTAGAATTATGAAACAGCTAGTGCAAGATTAGGTTGCGTTCTCGTAAAGTCGAAAGCGATTAAAGTCGAACACGATTTATTTCTACATTGTAACATTTGAAGAAAGCTAATAAATAGGAAATATACTCTCATTAAGCTTTCAATTGCGTTCCATAAGGGGGTGTGTGCGGGACATGAAAGCTCTTCAGTAGTAGTTCGTTCTCAGGTGAAAAACGAGACCTAAAAATCCCAGCCAGATGCCATAAGCGCGAAACATATGCCATAAGGAGGCTCACTGCATGTTCAATGTATGAAGGTATGTTGTGACGTGTGCCATATTGGTTCAGTGTATGCACCCTCTTGCCAGGAGCCTTCCATTGACGAACGACTGGATCATCCAATGACAGTACCGAACGTTTATGGTTTCCACTCTCGCTAACCCTTAAAAAGCCAGAAAGAGTCTATTCATGAGATGCTGCTCGCGACTTTCGCGTGCGTTGGGACTGTATATAATGCTCGCATTTCTCGGACCATTCAAGTTAATTTCACACCACACTCTTATTTATGGATTATTCTTAAAAAATTACTCTTCCCCTAGGTTTGGCAGTGAAGAGATACAGTGATAAACCTTTCAGTAAATATAGTTTATCTACGTTTCCTCACCAAGTGGATGAAAGGAACAAAGTAGCCAAAGAACAGTAGCGACATGGATACAACCCAAAACACGAATGGCTTTATCTTCCACACGGACAAGTCAAACAGCTTGGCTCTCTCTTTTCGGCCTATGTGGGCGCGTTTATACTTTGCAGGGAGGGGACGGTAGAGTAGAGCGCTGACAAACATGAGAAAGGCGAATCCAGAAAGAATTCTTAGCAAGATTTTCCAGCCGAGGTTTGACAAGACGAGATGATAAAAGGGTCCCATTGCTATCGCTCCGATACCACTTCCGCCAGTAATAATACCATTGGCTAAAGCAAGATTCCTGTCGAAGTACTGACCTGTATGAACATATTATAAAATGCAGTTAGAACCAAGGCCCTGATTGAGGAAATATCTTCTCTGTAAACTATTCATAGTTTAGGAAGTCCCTGAAATATAGCATGCAAAGTCAACTGAACAAAATGACATTAGCTAAGAGCCACTTTGATGACTGATGAGGATAAAAACTGTTATAGGAGTTCAGAACCGATATACTATTAACTGTGGAATTAAAAATGTGAAAGATGTTAATCTCACCTATCACAAATGTTGTTGTAGCATAGCTTAAAGAAGAACCAAAACCCCAAACGACACTGTACGTAAAGTAGATGACGTAGACACTATTGGCAAATGACGTCATCAAGAAACCGAGGACACCTATAAGACCACCAGTTGCTGCTATAAGCCGACAACCAAATCTTTCACACAAATTGCTGGCTATTGGACCGCCAAAGAAGGTTACACCAAATGCTATGGAACCAACCCAAGCTGAAACATGAAAAATCGAATACAGTCGTTGATAATAACCATCGCCTAAAATAATTTAGTGATAAATACAGTGCAAAAGATCATACAGCGTAACCCAATGTCACCATTTTGGTGTACCCTCTTTTCTTTTTGTAAGAATGTTGTTTTTTCAGCCCAGGCTGAATATTCTTATTTTTGCTGCCGATTTTAGGCCGAAAATATTCTAGTATTATCGTTAAATTGTAACCTCTGACCTTTCCGTTTTAGAACATATTAGGCTATGAAGTGGAGTTAATAGTAATGGTTTCGTTGTTTTTCTTCTTGGTGGTTAGTTTTGCCGTTTAGAAATAATTTCTCGGTTAAGTAAAAAACATATGATTGTGTTGTATTAACAGATTTTCAACGCACAAAATTATATCCTTTCCAGCCTTGGGTTTATTCTCGTATTCTTAAGATTCTGCAAATCTCAGCCTCGATATTCTTATAAAATGATATTCTTACAGAAAACAAAAGAGTACATACATCTGCACGTCGATGTACGGTAAATTCCTTCATTTGAGGAAGTTACATAGCATTACAAAATCTAACTTTGTGGCAGAAGACAGTATCTGTTAAGAGATTACTTCATAAATTCTTATAAAATTATTCTACAATGGAGGTAACTCAAAGACAAATGGTTTTCGATTAAAAAAGTTGCCCAGGAATCAAACAGCTTTCCTCTAGTCTACTCCTTGTTGTGACTTTAAAATGCTTTCTTTTTTTTCAGCAACCCTTAGCACAAACTTATACCTTTTCGGGCTGTTTGAGGAAAATAATTGAAAACGCAGGAACTTGGACTGAGAGCCGGGTGAATATTTGGTTATGATGCAGTATCTAGCATAATTTAATGAGGGCTTCGTTGGTCATGATACTCTATAAATAAAATTTCTCGATATGTTCTTGTTTGGGACAAGCCAGAATGAAACAGGATGTTTGGTTCGGAAAAGAGATTATGCAAACGCGATATTACGTGGGGAGCCATGCCTTTATTCACACGCACGGTTGATAGCGGAGCTCTCGCGCGCGAAGCGCGCCAGCGGAGCACCATGGGTAAGAAAATTTGGTAAACTATCCATCCGAGAAAATTTGGTTATGACGTAGCGTACGCCCGCCCGCCCACCGGTACAAACACTTCATGTAAGCCGATGTCAAGTGTCACACTTTTCAGGACCGAGAAATAAATAACAACGGAGACTAATGTCGTTGGAAGAAAAACATGAAAATTATATAGCGGCGGTTATATTAGAAAATGAAGAATGCTAGCGGCTACTAATGTGAAAAAGGAGCGGCAGTGAAAAAATAGAATGAACAGGAACACAAACATTTCCTCCATAAAACGCGTAAATAGGAAGCTAAAAGAAGTTTCACGTTAGTCGTGTAAAACAACGGTAAGGAAATGTACAAAAAAAAAAACTGCTGCACGTGCAGAGTTGTTTTTTTGCTAATTAGAAAAAAAAGTGTGCTGCACGTGCAAAGTTGTTTTTTGCTAATTAGATCTATTGTTCTTGTTTTTAGCATTCTCGTTGCTTTCAACTTGTCTTTAGAATTCATGGATTTTATATTTTCTTTGAGAAATCTATAAATATTAAAGAGAGCTTCGCTTTTAGCCCTGGCTAAATCTATATATTAAAAAGTTATGTAATCACTCTCAGCTTGTTCGTCGCCTATTGAGAGGAGGAAAAGAAGGTTTCAGGTTCCCTTAAACAACACGCGTGACGTTTTGATTCCAAAGTTTTATGGATGACAGAACGTTCTCTGACAAGTTCGTGGACCTATTTTTAATATCTTCACGACTTTTTGCCCCAATACCCTACGCCGGGATCAGGATCAAGGAACTTTTTTTTAAAGCTGTTACACAGATTGTATTAGATGAAGAAGGGAAAAAATGGATACTACAAATATAGAATTTGCAATTTCTACTGAAAGAAATCAAGAATTACTTAGCATAGTTACCGGTAAATCATAATGGATAGGTAGTGGAAATTTCAATTTTTATGCAGGAAATCCAAAGTGAGGAATTGAAAAACACAGACATTTTAACTTTAGAACCAAATTCTTTTTTTATAAGAATGTTTTTTTTCCTGCCCAGGCTGAATATTCTTAGTTTTCTGTCAATTTTATTTCGAAAATATTCTTGTTATTATTCTTAACTTATATTCTATAGCTGATGACATTTTCGTTTTAGAATGTATTGCATGGTATTAATTATAGTTAGTGTAGGATTTTTTCGTTTTGTTGGCTAGTTTAGCCGTTTAGATAAAGTAATAAGTGAAAAACATATAATTGTATTGTATTTCAACCCACAATATTAAATCCCTCTGGAAATCTCAGCTTCGGGTCTATTCTTATAATATTCTTGAAATTTCGCTACTTTCAGCCTCGATATTCTTATAAAATGCATTCTTATAAAAAAAGAGTGTATATTGAAGTCACCTAGGGTTATAGCTAAAAAAATTGCTATTATAATAACTCACTTGTATCTGCAGGATCTGCCTTTAAATCCCTCATGAAGTAAGTGTATAAGATTCCAAAGTTGTTGTGAATACCCATGATGATAAACTGGCAAATCGCCGCTGCGATGCAAATAATCCAACCATATCCACCGTCGGGACATTCCTTTTCCGTGCAAATCTCTAGTGTCGTGACATCACGCTTTTTTGTCTCATTTTTGGCGATGATCTTGTTCAGTAGTTTTTTCATTTTGGCTTTAAGGGTTCGCCGCTCGGTTGATCGTTAGCCTACTTTTACTAAAGACTCACAAGGAACCAACAGGTGTCGAAAACAAAGATAAACGTCGTTCAAATGCGCTCAGAGAGATATCATGAACGATGGTATGCTTAACATGAAATAAAGCCGTTAAAAAGCCTTGATCGTAACAAATTTGAGACGAGTATCAATAGCGCGCACCTCGTGGAAAAGTGGTGTGAAAAGTGGTGTGAAAAATAGTGATTGCAAGAAAAAAAAGCTGATTGGACAGTGAAAGTGATGATCATGCTAATTTCTCATGTGGAGAGTCAGAGGTGACCCTTCAACAATACACAGCTGACCAAGAAATGTACGCTATCAGTAAAAACAAAAAAAAACAACAACAACGAAAAAGCCAACAACTTTTTCAAGCACCCATCACCCATTGACATGAGGAAATTCTCTATCAGTTGTGGAATTCTTGCCCGGTTTCCTTTCTCACATTATTTTCAATATTTTTTTCCCTAAAAACTTCCAACGATGGTGCCTCTATTGTATTTATACCATAATATTAGATCTATAGATACCATACTTTTTAATGTTTTCGCCATCTTCAACTTGGTGTCGTGGCAAATATGTTCACTTCATGAAGGATCGCATTAAATGGCGTGAAACGCATTTTGCCAGTCTTGTTCCAGATGCAAAATTTCGATATCAGAATCCACCCTCGGCCGCGTACATAAAAAAAAAATGCTTTTCTGGCAATTCAATCACCACTTCTTTACCTTGAAACAGCTCATTTGTTAGAAAAGAACACAAGGAACGTTTTTTAAGACCAAAAATTGAGTCTACCTCTTATTACTTTTTTTCTTCGACAGTCGGTGTCATGAGACATGCCTAATCAATGTTATGATAGAGGGACTGATGTTTTGAAAGAGGTATTTGGGCGGTAACCAGAGGAAAATTAGATACACGTCAGTTTATGCAGGATGTAAGCGATACAAAACGATGGTTAAATGAAAGGAACCAAGACTTCTGATGTAAAAAACACTTTTTCAGGAAAATTCATGAGGCAAGTTAGCTCAAAGAAAGGTTTCCCGTTCGTTAACGAGGTCTTTTCCTGACTGAACTAATCAGCATTACGTAAATGGTCATCTCCACTCATTTAGTTTGCAGGCAGAACTCAGAACTATTACTGACGAGCTATTGTCATGTGCAAGTTACAGCTGCCAATAGTATTTGGACAACCCAATTTGATACCTTACGTTAAAGATAATACCAAATTGAGGAATATCTAGACTGATGTTGCTTTTCAAATTAGAGCTTATCTAATAATAGTCGAAAAGCTTTGTTCCAACAGAAGGTTATAACACCTATATATGTCACGATCCCAAAGCACAGTGATGTTTTCCAAATACACAGAAAATCCGCTTTTATAGTCATGAAAATTCTTCCATAACAATCAGTCATGCTTGCGTCGCTTGGGATTGTTAAGGTTAAACTACCAAGGGCACAAATCCGCCACGTGAGTGGTGTGAATAGTGGTGCTAATGGTGAAACAGGCCAATCCTAAACCTTATTGGCCATGGGAAATCACGTTATTTGTAAAGTGGAATATTCAGGTCAAAATATTTACTTTTCTCTGACTCGCCACCTATTGAATCCGAAAGCTTTGAAAGTTAATCCTTTTTGTTATTGTCCTTTTAAGAGTGTCGGAGTAGGTGTCGGTTAACACACCTTTACCAGCATCAAGAATCGATCAAGAAAGCAGTTCCATGAATCGTGTAATCGCAAAAAAATATTGCCCACTGCTTTCTTCTGCCTTAAGACAGCCATAGTACAGAGTTATTTTACTGAAGCGGAAAGGGTCACCTGACCATCACGATTACATCCATCTGTGAAGTCGAGCTGTCCTTGTTTTGCAGAAAATATATATGCTGAGATAAGTTATGGACTTTACTTAGGACTGTCATCTCTGTAATAACCGAGAGTCTATTTTTAATACGGGGTCCGCTTAATAGGTTTCGGTGTAGCTCTTTCGCTCCATTAGTACATTACCTTCGTAAGGCTCATCTAAGTTGATTACAAGGCCACTGGAATTTTAGCTCGATATAACTCGTTATTGAAGCAGTTTTTGTAAGGGAGACAGAGTGATGTCCACACATCAAAGGGCTCGGAAAAGGACGGCGTCAAGAAACTGACAAAACATCTGTTGATAACCGATCACCAAAATAATGCGCGAGAGTGTCTAGACATCGGGAATTTTATTTTCGCGGTAACCAAAACAAAATTAAATATACCTTCAGGATGCGATACAAATGCAATCGTCTATTTGAAACAAATAATAGCAGGATTGAGACAAGAATCCGGATGACAACAGGATATTCTTTTGGGGGGGGGGGCGGGGTGTGTTTTTTGGGGGGTGGGATGATAAGTGGTAGACTGGCAAGTGGAGATCAGAAACTTCCACTTGAAGTGGTCCCACTGCCCCCCAGGGGGGAAATCCCTTGTATAAGCCATATTGTCCATATAGGTATATGCCCAACCTCGTCCACAGGGCTGGATTTTGCGACGTTTTGGTCTGAAAAGGGGTATAGACTTTACCCATGAACGTATTTATCGTTTCAGTTCCAAATGAATAAGAAAGAAAAAGGAGATGCTCGAATTCGAGTGGATTTTAAGAAATCTTTTTAGGTGGCGTTCTAATCTAAGTAATGATGACATAATTTCTTGGGGGCCAGGTCTGAAAACGGGTGAAAAAAATGACACTTTTTCACGGTCTGGAAAAGGGTCAGGATTTGGAGAACCGGGCGGCCCACCCCCACCAAGAATTCCCAGGACTTCTCCCCGGGCTTTACTGACATTTCACTGATTGATTCCGATAGCTTTAAAATTCCACCCTCTTATTCCATTTCAATTACTTTTTATTTAGTATATATTTTTTGGAGAATCGGTTCGTTTATCTTGGCCTATTGTTTGTTTTTGATTTTAAGAAAAAGACCTTAAAACAACAACAAAGCATGAATAAAGCTTTTTGAAGGCATTTAAGCATTTTGGGAGATTGCTGGGAAAAATATATCTGTTCCTCACTCCCAGAAAGACTGATGGAAGAGTTCCCAGCCAGCAAGGTGCATCTACACTCTGCAACCTGACTTAATGGGACGTTTCCCAGCAGCAGACGTATGTCCAGACTTGATCACTGGCCAGTTTGGGCATGGTCATAGAAAAAAATTCATACCTTCACTGGCGGGGAGAGGAGCGTTACGTACAAAAATGGGTGTGACCTAACGGCGACATTCACCCCTTCAGCCGCGGGCGGGGGGGGGGAGTTTATGACAAATAACCCATAGCAGCTATTCTACACATCAAATCCCCTCAGACGCCCTGAATTATCTTTCTTCCCAGCAACGCTTCCAGCAAACATTTGCCTGAAGAGCAGTGAGTTATTTTGAAGAACAGATCCATCGGGTGCCCCTGAGCTATGTCAGTCTTCAATCTTTTCAAGACAGGAAAACACCTTTATTCTTTCTTGGTCTTCAGCGCTACCTTATTCAGTTTAAACATAACTGGCTCTCTCTTGTTAAGATCGATTCGTAAGGTTGGAAGAGGTATCCGCCGATAGGAAGACTTACTTGTATCCTTTTTTCCTAGCCTGCACGGTAAGGTCTCCATTTGGGGTAGTCGCGAGAAGTCACGTGCGAGGGGTACGCGAAAGGAGACGCCGCTCACTGGCGTGTCTCTCTTGGCTCGCGTGGAGAGCTTGCTCGCCGGCTACTTTTTTTCGTTCTATTGATTTCATTAATCTTGATACCTGTACTGCTGTCGAAAGGGTGTGGGTAGTGGTTAAAAATTAAGAATTCGAGGCTAGTTTTAATCAGTCAATATTGTCCCGATGCATAACTACATCAGTAAATTGATTTCAAAGTTCATAAGTGTTATTTAACGCTTTGCAAATCAAAAAAAATGTTGACCTCTCAAAAGATTCAGTAACTTCTGCGTGATCTTGAAAAGAGGTCATCGATTGAAAAAATAGCTAATTACTAAATAAAGATACGAAAACTTGTTAGAATCATGTTTTTCCTAGGGGCAAACGTCCGTAAAACCTGGGGGAGGAGGCTTCCATAGGAAAGCGGAGACTCTCGCTCAGTCTAGGGGTATAAATAAAGTGTCTTGTGTCATACACATGAGTTTCTTTGTCCTTCTGCAATTTCATTAGCGCTTACAGAGACATGTGCAGTCTTTTCCTGTTCGGGAGTCTCTTCGAAGATTTCTTTCCTTTTTCTGGTTTCTAGATCTGGCATAAATAGTCGAGTAAAAGGCAGAGTGCAGGATCCAGCAGCTATGGCGGCTCCGGCTACTAAGAAAGCGTCCTGATATGATCCAGTTTTCTCAAAAATGTACGCTAGAAGAGAACGAACATGAAACAAATGAAACTGATTTCAATCAAAAAACATTTTTAAGAATGTATTGAAAACAAAGAAAACCCTGATAGAAATGATGGTTCATATTTGTTTTGAATTACTCTTCCACTATACCACGACGTTTAGTGTATGTCTTTGGCTTTCGATGGCCACGATTGAACTTGAAAAAATTAAGCCAACTTTCTCAAATTTAACTCTCTTTGATACCCTTTAGGTTTATGGGAATGGTTACAATGCAAATAGGCGGTTAAGCTACAAAGTAAAACGTACCTGCTAAAGGTGCTCCACATATTATAGGAAGAGATATAACTCCATACAAGGATCCTAAACCTTGTGGTAGCAAATTAGGTCCGACTACATCACTAGTAGTGATGGCTATAAGCAAAACAAAACAGCCGTCAAACGTTCCAAAGCTAACAGCATATAATATGAGCCCAGTGTAATCTTGTACCAGCGGACATAGCGTGCATGTAACAGCCATCATCACAAAGCAAACCTGAAAGAAAAAAGCAACATCTTTTACTATATGGTTGAACCCCCGGGCGAGCAAGATGAAGCGAATCCTGCATTCTGATTTGCTAAAGCCCGCTTGGGATTTTCCGCGTTAGCCCAGCAATTAAAAGTTCCCTTTTTGGGCGTTATCCAGCCGAACAAGCTTGGTCATTGCTGTATTTGCACTGATGGCGGATCAGCAGATGTCTTGAGTTGTTCGTTTTAAAAAGAAAAGAAATTGTAATTTGATAGACTGGCCACAATTAACAACTACTTAACCAGTATATGAACTGATCCCGATTTGCAAACACCTTTCTTGGCTCGAAAAGGTATCTGTACTTAATTTCAGTCTCATGCGTTCATTACTAAAGTATCAAATTGTCCATTAGAAACTTTAAGCAGCAACATTCACATGGTTACATATTAGTAAGTAAAAACATTTCTTTACATACCTGTAACACGTAGAAACGATTAACTCTTGGGTGATTGAGCACAAAGCCAAAGAGAACACGTGACAGCGTAGAAGCAATGGAAAGGTAGCCTATTAGCAGAGAGGCCTTAGACTCGGGTACTCCAAGAATCTCAGCGAAATTGGGCTGAAGAAGAAAAAAATGATCAGAGGACCATTTCGAGGCCACCTTGAAATCAGCTAGAGTTATGAAACAGCTAGTGCAAGATTAGGTTGCGTTCTCGTAAAGTCGAACGCGATTTAAGTCGAACATGATTAATTTCTACAGTGTCTAACATTTCAAGAAACCTAATAACTAGGAACTATACTTTCATTAAGCTTTCAATTGCGTTCCATAAGGGGGTGTGTGCGGGACATGAAAGCTCTTCAGTAGTAGTTCATTCTCAGGTGAAAAACGAGACCTAAAAATCCCGGCCAGATTCCATAAGCGCGAAACTACAGGAGGCTCACTGCATGTGTGTCTGCATGTAGGTATGTTGTGACGTGTGCCATATTGCTTAAGTGAATGCACTCTCTTGCCAGGAGCTTTCCATTGACGAACGACTGGATCATCCAATGACAGTACCTAACGTTTATGGTTTCGACTCTCGCTAACCCTTAAAGAGCCAGAAAGAGTCTATTCATGAGATGGTGCTCGCGACTTTCGGGTGCGTTGGCACTGTATATGCTCGCATTTCTCGGACCATTCAAATTAATTTCACACCACACTCCTGGAATTATTCTTAAAAAATTACTTTTCCCCTAGGTTTGGCAGTGAAAAGATTGAGTGATAAATCTTTCAGTAAATATATTTTATCTACGTTTCCTCACCAAGTGGATGAAAGGAACAAAGTAGCCAAAGAACAGTAGCGACATGGATACAACCCAAACAACGAACGGCTTTATCTTCCACACGGACAAGTCAAACAGCTTGACTCTCTCTTTTCGGCCTATGTTGGCGCGTTTATACTTGGCAGAGAGGGGACGGTAGAGTAGAGCGCTGACAAACATGAGAAAGGCGAATCCAGAAAGAATTCTTAGCATGATTTTCCAGCCGAGGTTTGACAAGACGAGATGATAAAAGGGTCCCATTGCTATCGCTCCGATACCACTTCCACCAGTAATAATACCATTGGCTAACGCAAGATTCCTGTCAAAGTACTGACCTGTATGAACATATTATAAAATGCAATTAGAACCAAGGCCCTGATTGGGGAATTATCTTCTCTGTAAACTATTCATAGTTTAGGAAGTCCCTGAAATATAGCATGCAAAGTCAACTGAACAAAACGACATTAGCTAAGAGCCACTTTGATGACTGATGAGGATAAAAACTGTGGAATGAAAAATGTGAAAGATGTTAATCTCACCTATCACAAATGTTGTTGTAGCATAGCTTAAAGAAGAACCAAAACCCCAAACGACACTGTATGTGAAGTAGATGACGTAGACACTATTAGCAAATGACGTCATCAAGAAACCTAGGACACCTATAAGACCACCAATTGCTGCTATAAGCCGACAACCAAATCTTTCACATAAATTGCTCGCTATTGGACCGCCAAAGAAGGTTACACCAAATGCTATGGAACCAACCCAAGCTGAAACATGAAAAACCGAATACAATCAGTCGATAATAACCATCGCCTAAAATAATTTAGTGATAAATACAGTGCAAATGTCCAATATCATACAGTGTACCCCTGGGGGGGACTCCCATATAAAAGGGGCGGGGAAGCACGCCGGAAATTTTGAATTAAACCCCGAAGGAGACCAATCTGGGCGTGGCCCAACCTTTTTTTGACCCCTTAAAAAGATCATTTTAAACTTTGGTTAGAATCGAGTAAATAAAACGAATTGAAAATATATAATTTTTTAGTATTTCTTCGGGTGGAACCCTAAAAAAGACTTTTACGGCTAATTGTGTTTTGCCCAGAACACCCTAAGCGAGACCAAATTATGAAATTTACACACCTAAGCGAGATGACGAGCATCCCCTCCTCTTTCATATGGGAGTCCCCCCCTCCCCCCCGGGCAACGTAAAGACCGACCCCAATGTCACCATTTTGGTGTACCCTCTTTTCTTTTTGTAAGAATGTTGTTTTTTCAGCCCAAGCTGAATATTCTTATTCGATTTTAGGCTGAAAATATTCTGGTATTATTGTTAAATTGTAGCCTCCGACCTTTCCGTTTTAGAGTATATTAGGGTATGAAGTGGAATTTCTGGCAATGGCAGGTCACGGTTTTTCTTCTTGGTGGTTAGTTTTGCAGTTAAGAAATAATTTCTCGGTTAAGTAAAAAACGTATGATTGTGTTGTGTTAACAGATTTTCAACACACAAAATTCAGTATCCTTTTCAGCCTTAGGTTTATTCTCATCATATTCTTAAGATTTTGCAAATTTCAGCCTCGATATTCTTATAAAATGATATTCTTACAGAAAACAAAAGAGTACATACATCTGCACGTCGATGTACGGTAAATTCCTTCATTTGAGGAAATTACATAGCATTACAAAATCTAACTTTGTGGCAGAGGACAGTATCTGTTAAGAGATTACTTCATAGATTCTTATAAAATTATTCTACAATGGAGGTAACTCAAAGACGAATGGTTTTCGATTAAAAAAGTTGCCCAGGAATCAAACAGCTTTCCTCTTGTCTACTCCTTGTTGTGACTTTAAAATGCTTTCTTTTTTTTCAGCAACCCTTTGCACAAACTTATACCTTTTCGGGTTGTTTGAGGAAAATAATTGAAAACGCAGGAACTTGGACTGAGAGCCGGGTGAATATTTGGTTATGATGCAGTATCTAGCATAATTTAATGAGGGCTTCGTTGGTCATGATACTCTATAAATAATCCCTCGATATTTGTTAAGTTCTTGTTTGGGACAAGCCAGAATGAAACAGGATGTTTGGCTCGGAAAAGAGATTATGTAAACACGATATTACGTGGGGAACCATGCCTTAATTCACACGCACGGTTGATAAAAAGTTATGTAATCACTATCAGCCGGTTGGTCGCCTATTGAGAGGAGGGAAAGAAGGTTTCAGGTTCCCTTAAACAACACGCGTGACGCTTTGATTCCAAAGTTTTATGGATGACAGAATGTTCTGTGACAAGTTCGTGGACCTATTTTTAATATCTTCACGACTTTTTGTCCCAATACCCTACGCCGGGATCAGAATGAAAAAAACTAAAGTAACAGAAGTAGATCAAGGAATTTTTTTTTAAAGCTGTTACACAGATTGTATTAGATGAAGAAGGGAAAAAATGGATACTACAAATATTGAATTTACAATTTCCACTGAAAGAAATCAAGAATTACTTAGGATAGTTACCGGTAAATCATAATGAATAGGTAGTGGAAATTTCAATTTTTATGCAGGAAATCCAAAGTGAGGAATTGAAAAACACAGACATTTTAACTTTAGAACCAAATTCTTTTTTTATAAGAATGTTTTTTTTCCTGTCCAGGCTGAATATTCTTAGTTTTCTGCCAATTTTATTTCGAAAATATTCTTGTTATTATTCTTAACTTATATTCTATAGCTGATGACATTTTCGTTTTAGAATGTATTGCATGGTATTAATTATAGTTAGTGTAGGATTTTTCGTTTTGTTGGCTAGTTTTGCCGTTCAGATAAGTGAAAAACATATAATCTTATTGCATTTCAACCCACAATATTAAATCCTTCTGAAAATCTCAGCTCCGGGTCTATGCTTATAATATTCTTGAAATTTCGCAAATTTCAGCTTCGACATTCTTATAAAATGTATTATAAAAATAGAGTGAAAATTGAAGTCGCCTAGGGTAAAAGCTAAAAAAATTGCAATTATAATAACTCACTTGTATCTGCAGGATCTGCCTTTAAATCCCTCATGAAGTAAGTGTATAAGATCCCAAAGTTGTTGTGAATACCCATGATGATAAACTGGCAAATCGCCGCTGCGATGCAAATAATCCAACCATATCCACCGTCGGGACATTCCTTTTCCGTGCAAATCTCTAGTGCCGTTATATCACGCTTTTTTGTCTCATTTCTGGCGATGATCTTGTTCAGTAGTTTTTTCATTTTGCCTTTAAGGGTTCGCCGCTCGGTTGATCGTTAGCCTGCTTTTACTAAAGACTCACAAGGAACCAACAGGTGTCGAAAACAAAGATAAACGTCGTTCAAATGCGCTCAGAGAGATATCATGAACGTTGGTATGCTTAACATGAAATGAAGCCGTTAAAAAGCCTTGATCGTAACAAATTTGAGACGAGTATCAATAGCGTGCACCTCGTGGAAAAGTGGTGTGAAAAGTGGTGTGAAAAGTATTAATAAATAGTGATTGCAAGGAAAAAAAGCTGATTGGACAATGAAAGTGATGATCATGCTAATTTCTCATGTGGAGAGTCAGAGGTGACCCTTCAACAATACACAGCTGACCAATAAATGTACGCTATCAGTAAGAACAAAAAAAAACAACAACAACGAAACAACTATTTCAAGTACCCATCACCCATCGGCATGAGGAAATTCGCTATCAGTTGTGGAATTCTTGCCCGGTTTCCTTTCTCACATTATTTTCAATATTTTTTTCCCTAGAAACTTCCCACGATGGTGCCTCTATTGTATTTATATCATAATATTAGATATCAAACTTTTTAATGTTTTTGCCATCTTCAACTTGATGTCGTGGCAAATATCTTCACTTCATGAAGAATCGCATTAAATGACGTGAAACGCATTTTGCCAGTCTTGTTCCAGATGCAAAATATCGATATCAGAGTCCACCCTCGGCCGCGTACATGAAAAAAAAATGCTTTTCTGGCAATTCAATCACCACTTCTTTATCTTGAAACAGCTCATTTGTGAGAAAAGAACACAAAAGAACGTTTTTTTTTAAGACCAAAAATTGAGTCTACCTTTTATTACTTTTTTTCTTCGACAGTCGGTGTCATGAGACATGCCTAATCAATGTTATGATAGAGGGACTGATGTTTTAAAAGAGGTATTTGGGCGGTAACCAGAGGGAAATTAGATACACGTCAGTTTATGCAGGATGTTAGCGATACAAAACGATGGTTAAATGAAAGGAACCAAGACTTCTGATGTAAAAAACACTTTTTAGGGGAAATTCATGAGGCAGGTTAGCTCAAAGAAAGGTTTCCCGTTCGTTAACGAAGTCTTTTCGTGACTGAACTAATCAGCATTACGTAAATGGTCATCTCCACTCATTTAGTTTGCAGGCAGAACTCAGAACTATTACTGACGAGCTATTGTCATGTGCAAGTTACAGCTGCCAATAGTATTTGGACAACCCAATTTGATACCTTACGTTAAAGATAATACCAAATTGAGGAATATCTAGACTGATGTTGCTCTTCAAGTTAGAGCTTATCTAATAATAGTCGAAAAGCTTTGTCCCAACAGAAGGTTATAACACCTATATATGTCACGATCCCAAAGCACAGTGATGTTTTCCAAATACACAGAAAATCCGCTTTTATAGTCATGAAAATTCTTCCATAACAATCACTGATGCTTGTGTCGCTTGGGATTGTTAAGGTTAAACTACCAAGGGCACAAATCCGCCACGTGAGTGGTGTGAATAGTGGTGCTGATGGCGAAAGAGGCCAAGCCTAAACCTGATTGGCCATGGGAAATCACGTTATTTGTAAAGTGGAATATTTAGGTCAAAACATTTACTTTTCTCTGACTTGACACTTATTGAATCCGAAAGCTTTGAAAGTTAATCCTTTTTGTTGTTGTCCTTTTAAGAGTGAGTAGGTGTCGGTTAACACACCTTTACCAGCCTCAAGAATCGATCAAGAAAGCAGTTCCATGAATCGTGTAATCGCAAAAAAATATTGCCAACTGCTTTTTTCTGCCTTAAGACAGCTATAGTACAGAGTTATTTTACTGAAGCGGACAGGCTCACCTGACCATCACGATTACATGCATCTGTGAAGTCGAGCTGTCCTTGTTTTGCAGAATGAAATATATATGCTGAGATAAGTTGTGGACTTTACTTAGGATTGTCACCTCTGTAATAACTGAGAGTCTATTTTCAATACGGGGTCCGCTTAATAGGTTACGGTGTAGTTCTTTCGCTCCATTAGTACATTACCTTCGTAAGGCTCATCTAAGTTGATTACAAGGCCACTGGAATTTTAGCTTGATATAACTCGTGATTGAAGCAGTTTTCGTAAGGAGACAGAGTGATGTGCCCCATGCATAAAAATCGGATTTCAAAGTCCATTGTTACGTATTTAATTATTGAAAGAAAAAATGTTGACTGCTCGGCTGCAGTGATCGTGAACGAGGTCAGTTGTTGAAAAATAAATGGATAAAGCAAGTTGGTATAACGGAAATCGGCCGTTATAGTTTGACTTATAAGACCTTACAAAGGCGTCTTTCATGACACGAAGTTCGGTTTCTTTTGGACAGGACTCTTCCTTTAAAAATGAACTCCATTTTCCATGCACAAAAGCTGTCGTGTCGCAGAAATTGAAACTACCCAAACAACTTCAATCTCTTTAAGTTAACACAATTTTGATGATTTGAGTTCATCTTTTCTTACGATCACGCGATACCGTGTGCAGGAAAAATGACGCTAAAATAGACAAAAAAGCTCACGTGAAAAACATGAAAAAAAGTTCATTGCACCACACGCACGCACGTGCGTGCGTGTGGTGCAATGAACTTTTTTGTGTAGACAAAAATATCGGTGTATGTTTTGCAAATAAGATGGTTATAATAAAGGTTAAACAAAAATATCGAAGAGTAATGAGATTTATTGGACGTGGATTTCTACGAACGAGAAACACACGGATAGGAGACCTAAACGGCACCAATGACCTTGAAGGGAACACCTTCTATTCAGACAGATCACAGGTACCCCAAGCTCACGAGTGAGAATCGTTGTTGCGTTATATATAAAACGAACAACGGGCAGAACAAAAACTCGCTGGAATCGCGCTGAAACGGCCAAGAATGCTAAGAAAACACCATAAATTAACACAAGTGGACTAGGTGAGAAATTCTGATGTATAGTTACTACTATTTTTGACCCCTAAATAACGATGGCTTAAATCTCCGTACAAACCTTTATAATATTTCAGTTACGCAACAACGATTATCACTCATGTACTTGGGATACCTGTGGACAGATCTTGTCACATAGTGTAAGATCCAAGTGTAACATTTTTGTATATATTATTCGTTTTTGCTTTAATTGCGTACTTTAATTAAGCTTATAGTTTCTTTCGCCCTTTGTTTAGTTTCTTTGCGCAAGTTGTGGTGTTTAGTTCTTTGCGTCTATGCGTCTCTTTACATTTTTCATCTTCATTAGCGCCTTTTTTCAGTTTCTTTAGTTTGCTTTTCTGCATATTCAACATATTGTACCGTAATTTATATCGTAGTTCTGCAGTAAAGTTTGTTCAGTTCATTTTGGTCCGTGCTAAGCGCAGTTCTGTTTAGTTTCTTTTAAGTCTCTTCGCGTTATTCGTAGTCAGCTTCAGAGCAGTTTTCTCTAGCCGAAACAATGTAACTGTATTTCACAGTCCTCGCTTTTTGCAGTTTTTGCTATTTCTTTGGTGTGATTTTCTTTAGTCGCAAGTTGGCATTTTTTACTCTTTTGCTGTTTTAGTTTCAACCCACGCTGTTAGTTTATCCACACGCTGTTTGTACCACGCATTCAAAAATTTTCTGAGCTTCACTCGAAAACAGTCATTAAGTGTTTATTGCCTGCTTTGGTTTGTTTCTTTGTTTGTTTTTCCTTTCTTTGAAATATGCACTAAATAAATAAGCTTTGTTTTAAACTTGTAGCATTTTGTATATCCGGCCAGCTGGATTTTTAAAAATGTTACTTCATAGTCTTCAAATGCGTGTACTTCTCTCTAATGCCACCCCATTTTTGCCAGGTACACGTTTCTCTCGCGTTATTTACCCCTGCATACTTCCCGTACCTCAACTGCGCATGCGGCGCTTGTAAGCAGGAGCCAATTTCGTTCCTAGAGGCCGCATTCCTTTTGGTCAGCGAAAGGATCCCTGGAGATGAGGTTGAGCAGGTGTACCAGGGGAGGTGTACGTTTTCCCGCGCTTGCAATAACGTTGTGTGTCTGCTCGTGTCAAACGTCAGTCTCTCTTTCAAGCATATCAAGAATACATTCTACGCTTAACATGTCTCCCAGTCTTCCAGTCGCAAGCTGACAAGATAACGGGCGTCGCCACGCAAACTGACTTGTGTCATAAATATAAGAGTTCCGTTGTCTTTCCGCAGTACAATTTGAGTCCTGTATAGTTTTGTCTTTCTCAAGAGGCTCTTTCCGGACTTCTGTTGATTCGACATTCTCTCTGGTTTCAGGCATAAAGAATGGAATCAGTGAAAGAGTACATGTCCCAATAGCTATGGCACCCCCGGCTACAAAGAAGGCATTTTGATACGAACCAGATACCTGGAAAATAAACGCTGAAAGAGATACGGTAAAAACATTAAGTCAATTAATCTACACAGGCTGCCCAATTGTGTTACGGTAAATGATGTATTTCAAATAAAAGTTAATGTCCATTCGACTTCCTCATCCCTTTATTTTCTAAGTAAATTTTATCGCTTCTTATCATTTCATGAACGCGACACTGATTCAGAATAACATCACTCCGACAGTAGAAATAATCCCAAGTAATATATCTCTTGTATAGTTTATTTCAAACCCTAGTAAAACCTACAGCTGATATATGAAATAGCTTTAGGATCTATATTCTATCATGAATAATGATGAAAATGGGCCGTAAACGTACCTGCCAGGGGTGGACCAAATATCATAGGGAGAGATATTACTCCATACAAAGTTCCTAAAGCTTGTGGTAGTCTATTAGGACCGACTACATCACTAGTGGTGATGGCAATTAGCAAAACAAAGCAGCCATCAAAAATTCCAAAGCCAACAGCATATAGTATGAGCCCAGTGTAATCCCGTGCTAGTGGACATAGCGTACATGTTACAGACATCATAAGAAAGCATAGCTGAAAGAAAAATGCATTAAAATTTAAAAAGAACAATTTATGAATACTATGAAAGTTGAAT